ATTAACATTCTGAATATTGCTAATATATTAGCATTTTTAAAATAAAGTTAACAAATAGTTTAACACATTAAATGTTTCACAAGTTTAAATTAAAAAAAATAGCTTTTGAGATTTATACTAGATATTTATATTAGAAAACCTTTGATAAATTCTCTACGGTTTTTTTTTACGATAGTTAGCCGTAAAAATCTTTAGTAACAATAAAGATTATATTTTTTTCTTACAAGGATTGCTCGGCCGTTCGTCTGCTATCCATATATCATATTCTGCCTCATTTTGATAAGGTACACTGATTTTCAGATTGGTCTCGACAACCTCGTACAATTTGCTGCGTATAGTATATTTGCTCGCAATTCCAAGATTATCGATATGACCCTCCAAGATGATAGTCTGATTTTTTCCAAAATGTGGTCCAATAGCTCGCCCGCAAAGCATCAAATATGCTATTGATGAATTAAAAAATCCGATACGACACATAAGAAAGATCTCATTTTAAACAATGTGCATAAATTTTATTTGATTTAAATATCAAAAGTAACAGAGATGCTTTAAATCATTTTATTAAGTTAAATAAAATATCCTACATAATCCGGATAAGCAAAAAGATAATTTAAATTAAAATATTTTACCTCTGCTTTTCTGTATTTTTTTAGCTTGAAACTGTATTTGTACTTTGCCGCTACCGTGCGCATTTAAACGTAAGATCGACACGGGCTTCAGGATAGTAAAAAAATGATTGTCATCGTTTATGAGCAACAATAAGTAATTTACGATGTTATCTGTCGGATTTGAAACGCTTATTTGCTTCGTGACGGTTTGGGATAGTGAACAGTTAAATTTGATCTGTAAAAGTGAAGCAATATGTTATACACGTAATATATAAGACTACATATGTTTTTGGATTAAAGTTTTCATTTAAAAAGTAAAAATATTATGAAATATCATAATGTAATAAGAGAGAAAATAAGCATTATAAAGCGTAATACCATGATTTTTTTTGTACAAACCTTGGCGCGAGGTACATATGTCGGTAAAATTTGGAAAAGATGGACGACCAGCATTAATATTTGCACTTGATTCGGATTAACCAGTTGCATCGGCGTAATAATGAAGCCAAGTCGTATTTTCCTCCAAGCAGTAACTACGCAAATAGCGTTATGCAGCATCTAGACACGGTAAATTGTTTGCAATAGGATTATACGATGATAAAAAAATGAAGCTAACATGAAAGGCTCAAAGACTGTTAAATCATTCAGAATGTCAATTAATGGTTTTTCCTCAATTTTTTGTACAATTACAATAATTTGCATAAATTTATAGAAAAAAATAACGCTGTTTATAAAAATTAGCATCTGTTAAATCTATCTTCCAATAATAATTATTTACTGTATTTAGTTCAAAATTATTTGTATTTATTAACGGTATTATCTTATACTAACAAGAAATACAAAGTTGCCTCGATATTTATATGGATTTGTGGCTTAAGGCTACATTTTAATGCCGAATAATAAAATTCACGAACATTATACTGTTATAGGTAAAAGATCTCGTCTCATGATTCATAAAATATTAATAGTTTATGCTTGTATAACAACAATCTTATTAATTTACATTATCCTAATTAAAACTCGAATTTTAACACACATAATTTTGATATCGTTTTAATTTTCAATGTATAATCTAATATACGGTTTCTTTTTAGCTTAAGATTAATTTAGAGTCAAACGCTTGATGATTACCTCTTGTTTGTTTCTGGGGCAAATGTACAAATTGTCAAAGCATTCGTCGATGAGAAAGGGACAATAGGCTGCGGTAACCGCAATTAGTACAAGGCTATCAGATAAATCATAATGAAAATTTGTAATCGCTCGATATTCGGTCACATCCTGCTTTTCTTGCGGATTCATGATTGTACGATGATCGGTCATCCAATCTCGTACGCGTTGTTGTTCGTAATGATATCCTAGCCAAGCTAGCAAAAACTTTTCTTCTGAACACCGGTTATCGGAAGCGAGTTCGTGGCTTAGCGAATTTACAATATTCTCAATGGCTCTCTCGTGAAGTTCATATTGCCTCGGCAAGCTGAGAAAGGTGCATCCAATTAGAGATGCAATTGTAAAATTACGCAATAACGAACCTCGATGTACTTGTAGATACTATCGAATCTCGATATCTTGTGAATCTCCTCGAAGGACGCGGCGACATCCGGAATTTATACTCGTGTATTCCACGCAGTACGAGACACTTGTACGTTTGCAAAGTTACATCCAACCAGTATTGTTTATTTCGCGATTCGAATAATTGCCGCGACAGCTGTTTATGTGATACACAATTTGTATTTAAATTTTTTCTTTGTGCCTGTAATATAAAAAAAAATTATTCAACGTATGGATCTTTGAGATGATTTGATGAAGTTGTATAACTTAGCTAACAACTTTTTTCTTATATATGACCTCTTTAATTTTTATTATCATTCTAAAAAGGAAAGAAATTATCATAATTTACAATTTTATAACTAACATTGCTCTGTACGATGTCAATGCTAATTAGATAATCGTCATAATTTAGGAGAAATTGTGGCAAAACATGAACTAAATATGCTCCTTGAGACAGAAGAAAGTCCAGTATTTTGTTACACAACTGGAGAACATAATTTATTCTTTCGATGTCATTTTCAGGCAACAGTTGCTTTGATCTTGAATAAAAAAAATAGAAATGTACTTGAAAGAAAGCACATATGTATAAATGCATGAGTATTACAATATTACAATTCTCCCAAGTAAGTATGAATGTTTGGTCCTACGATTGATTCGAGGACATTGATAAACGACAACATAATTGCATCACTTTCCTGTTTAGCATTTCCCACGTAAGATCGTTTTTTTATACGGAAATATGAAAAAGCTGCCGTAATGCCATAAGAAATGTTTGGATAAAAGCGAAATTTCAATGGGCCGGAATACATCCATTCTTCCATAATTGTTGCTATTCTCTTCACATATTTCTCGCAGTCACTAATAAAAATAAATACATGCAAAATGCTTATAAAACAGATGCGTTACATTTTATAATATTTTTACAATAAATTATTCACTTCTTCATAATTTTAATTCACTATTAAATTGATTTTTTTTAATATTCAAATTTAAATTGATTTTTAAATATTCAAAAAATACTTAAAATCAGAAAGGATATAAAAAATTCTCTCATTTTAAGTTAAACATTATTATATTTTATCGTATAAACTTATATGTTTTTATAATAATCGTTTAAAATTAATTATCAATTAATTCATTTTCATTAAAGTAAAAAGATCTGCTTTATGTTAAGTTTAAATTTAAGGAAGAACTATTCAAAAATTATTTTAAACTCTTTTATTCATATATATAAATTTATCTTCAATTTTCGCTTTTTTAAATTTTGGCCAATTTATTTTAAGTTCTTTACGATGATTTCTTATTTTTTCAAACTTACCCATTTCGATCGTTGGAGGAACAGGTAGAAGACAATAATCTTTCGGAATGTCTGTGACTTCTCGCTCCGAAAGCAACAGAAAGCACAGAAAATTTTTTGTGATTCAGTATTCGTTTATCATTTAGCGTTTGTTTTTCATTCACTTCCATATTTTCGTTATATATGTCTATTTCAATATCATTCATTTGTTTATCCCAATATAATTTCGAATCTTTTCTTTTATCAATAATACTTCTACTTCGATTATCAAAATGCGACATAATACTGAATTTCGATTCGCTCTAGATTTAAATAAATTTAAACTATATGTTAAA